TTTTCCATGCATTAGAGTTGAAAAATATAGGACTCTATTCGTAACGGAAATAATACTTTGAATGTGACTAGATCTATATATAGAAATTATTTTAAATAAATTGAGAAGAATTACAAAAATAATATTGGCTTGGGGGGGCATGGCCCCATGACCCGCAATCCGCCATGTAGCCCATTTCGTACGAAGAGGTGCATCACAAAGCATTTTCCTTCGAAACGTGAAATAACGCAAATCATTTACATTCCAACGACTTATTTGACCGAGAAATCACTTTTCGGGTACATATTCGTAACTTCATTTATTTGTATTACCTCCCTCAGACGTTGTTCCTCAACTTACGTCAGAGAATGAAATTGTAATTGAACTGAATCATGAACTCACAATTAAACTAATATTATTAATCATGTTGTAATACTTGACCAAGTTTGCATCACCGAAGAGGCATTGTGATGTCTGATTACTTTTTTAAGGAAAGTTATCTATCGAAACGTGATATTACGAAAGCCACACGCATGTTTCTCATCAACCCGTAGATTAATTTTTCTCTTCGATGAAGACATTTTAGGCTAAAAGTACATTTGTCATCCGTTGGCAAACCATGTCAAAATCGAAATATAATGGCCACGTATGTTTGTTTTTTGTTGATACTAAATTAAAATTACTAATTATTCGCACCATAGAAAACAGTTTTTCTAGAATTTTAATACAAGATAAATATTTAATAGGTGTGAAGGTGTTCTCTCAAGTTACTTGTTGCTATTATCTTATCTTTTTATAAGCCACTTCTTCCTACAACTGATACTAAAAATAATGAAAAAAATGTTATTCATGCTTTCATATTTGGGCACTGCGGACTTTTTTCTCCATCACGATCATCATCACCAAATAACGTTTTTCACAATTTCACAAAATTACATTTTTTAAAAAGAAAATAACTTAGGGGAGAACACGAATATACTTAAATTACAAAATATACCATAGCTGCCCCCAAATTTTTATTTTTCCAAAAATTGCAAAAATATGTATTTTGTAAAGGATACCTTTAAGATCCATAAAACTCATTATTATTTTACTATATCATTTTCAAGGTAATCTTGTGACATTTTAAAAAAAATCAGTTTTCTGGCGCACGATTATATAACTTTCTGTTCTTACGAAAAATTCATAAGGCGAGAAAGTAAAAATTCTGTAAGGTAAGGGGAAACTAAGCTTCAGAACAGCTACATTTCACATTTCAGAGTGTAGTTTAATACTATTGTGTTTGTGATGGTAAGAGTAATATTACCCATCATCATTAGTGAAGAAGAGAGCTTATGTCCTTATACCCTCTTCTTTCCTGGGCAGATGTTAACTGATGATTTTAAGTTGCTTTCCGCTGATTGAATGATCTTAAAAGCAATCATGACTGGTTAATAACTATGAAAGATTGATTGGTAAATATATACGATGAGATACGGAATGATATGAGAAACCAACCAAGCCACCAAACAATCCAAGTCTTAGGCGAAACTTGAGCACACATCTGTTGGGTTCCTTAAATGGGCTATGGTTGATGCTCCTGCGCTATCGAAGGAAACGCTGTTGTGAATTAACACTGTATTTTTAATTAAATTAATGCGACGTTATGTTTTTAAATTGATTTCATTAACATACTTTGCCTTATTAAAGCTATAACCGGGGGAGTGTATCAAGATATAACTCATGTCATTACGGTCCCTCTGACCGGCAGGTCCTACGTTCGAGTCCCGACGGTGGCAGGATTTTCGACTGTAGCTAGTCAGTTAGGTCTAATTCAGTCGTTGTCTGGAGGAGATTTCAGCTGCCGGCTGTTGTGATCGGTAGTTTTCCGTGGCTTCTCAAATCAACACCAGGCGACTGCCGGAGCACTACCCTAACAAACGGGCCACGGACCGCACGGGACCTTTCCTGCCTATTTCGTGTCTTGTCCTCACCCCTTTACACACATTTTCGCTTACATGCAGTACACTACCACACATGCCGGGAGACCGGTCGGGTGCCTAGACCTTGACCCGGCTGGGCGCTGCCCCCACTGGTGGGAGATACCTGATTCGGAAAATTGCCGACGGTTAGTCGGCGCCGGATCTCTCCACACAGCGTGGGAAGACCACCGCCACCTCCCGATCAAAAACAAGCACTACGCTTACGACTAATGACTTCAGTAGTAGACGCCCCGGAATCACCAACAATCAATCAACCATTAAAGCTATAAATCAAACTTCAATTTTTAATTTGAGAAATTAGTTAATACCATTTCTGGAACAATTAATGTTGTTATTACTGATACTATTCGTAAATAAATCATTATTATCTCTTCATTGTCACTAGTAAATAAAAAAACGGTTCAAATGATACCCCTCAAATGCTAGAAAATGGTAGGATGTAGAACCGTGAAGTTGTTACGCAGAGTGTGTAAGAAAGCTATTAAGAAAACGCGATCCATTAAGTGAAATTAATACAACTTTTCATATTAATATACAATGTAATGTAATCGAAATACTATAAAGTTAAATAGGCCCTCCTATATCTCACTTCTTTGAGCATGAATATTCGACTTTTACCACTACTAAAGTATTATCAATAGATTGATTCTGATCTTTAAAATAAAATTCGTAGAAAATAATCTTTAATTTTACAGTGACCGTATTTTTTAAATTAGAATCAAGTGATTAAGTTCTATTCATCCATGCACTAAGCCAGATGTTCCTTTTCGTAACGAATCGATTCCAATGTTGCGAGATCGGTGAACCGAAGGGAGGAATGTATGGTTGGAACGAGAACACTGTTTCGAAATTCAAATGAGAATGAAGCGTTTTTATTTATTAAAAAGGATTTTGGAATAAAATACGTTGAAAATTATGCTTTGGACAGACAAAAAATGTTTTATGTCAACAGAGTTGACAGAAGGCGGGAGACTCATCGTGAAATTCGATCCCTAGCGAGCATCAACTCCCTTTGAAAAGCTCTGAGGTGACGAAAGTCATGGGATTACTCCTAATATCATGTCGGACTCCTTTTTTCCGGCGAAGTGCTGCAACTCGACGTGGGATGGACTCAAGTCGTTCGAAGTCCCTTAAAGAGGTACTGAGCAATGTTGCGTCTACAACAGTCCATAATTGCAAAAGTGTTGCAGAATTTTGTGCACGTCCTGACCTCTCAATTATGTCCCATAAATATTTAATGGTATGCACGTCAGGCGATATGGGTGGGTAAATTATTCGCTCTAATTTGTCCAGAAAGTTCTTCAAAACAAACGTGAACAATTGTGGCCCGGTGAGGGCAATAAGGCGCATTGTAATCCATGAAATTGCAACGTTGTTTGGAACATGCAGTCCATGAATGGATACAAATGCTCTCCAAGTATCTAATTATTACCACTTCCAGGCAAGAATTGGTTCAGTTGAACCAGGGAACCGAGTTGTTTCCATGTAAAACAACCCTCACCATTATGGTACCATCATCAGTTTGCACAGTGTCTTTTGACAACTTGGGCCTATGACTTCGCGAGGTGTGCGCCAACTCGAACCCTGTCATCAAATATTACCAATTGAAATCACGACTCATCTTACCAAGTCACAATGTTCCAGTCGCCTATGATCCAAAAGATATGGTGACTAGCTCGGGAGATGCGTTGTAGGCAACGCTGTTCTGTTTTCAAAGGCACTTCAGTCGGTGTTCTGCTTTCATAGCCCATCAAAGACCAAATTTCTACGAGCAGTCGTAATGGACACGTTCGTCCTACGTTTACTTTGATTTATCATGTTATTTTACCTAGTGTTGCATGTCTGTTAGCACTGACAACTCTTCGGAGAAGCCACTGCCCTCTGTCATTACGTGAGTGCCGTCAGCCACTGCATTGTCCGTGGTGAGAGGTTTTTGCCTGAAATTTGGTGTTCTTGGCACACCCTTGACACTGTGTATCTCGGAATATTAAATTTCCTAACGATTTCTGAAATGCAATGTCCCATGCGTCAAGCTGCAACTACCATTCCGCGTTCAAAGTCGGTTAATCGCCGTCGTGCGGCCATAATCACGTCAGAAACCATTTCACATGAATCACTTGAGTACAAATGAAAGATCCACCAATGCACTCATCTTTTATAACTTATATAGAGAATTCTATTGCCAATTGTATTTTTGCATGTTGGTATCCAATGTTTTTTTTCACGTCAACGTAGTGTTTTGTTTATTAACAAGCCGCTACTCATCTGGCGAGCCTTGGCTCCAAAGTAAAGACGAAAAATCGAAATAATATATTTATCACCTTTGTTATTATAATAATGAAAATAACCCCGATTCATACAAAATACGATGACGTAATGAGAATATATAATATGTTGTACGATTTGAATCAAAATTCAAATGAAAATTTTCAAACTTAATAAAGCTATATTTAATTAGGTGTATGTTCTGGAGCAAACGAGATACTAAAAGTAAGCTTTGGAATATTATGTACTAAATTTTCCATTGTATTCTTGTCAATATAATATTCTTGCACGGTTTACTTTCCTTTTGGCTTAAGTAGGAGGAAGTACAGTATTTGAAACTTGATAATAATACAAAGTTCAAGGGAAATATTTTATAAATGTTATAAAATTGAACCATTAAACGCTATTAGTCAAACTATATGTTGTTAGTCATAAAATAAAGTAAACTTGACACCGGTTTAGTGATTTGAATAAGATGAGGACACTGTTGGCAAAGGAAGGAGGTCATGGAATTTCATACTGAAGCGAATTTTTTTCATATTATTTTATTTACAAAAAGTAATTTTAACTTGACACCTGAAACTGAAATTCGTTTCTCTCAAATGTAAAAGATACAAAACTTGTTCATCCTCACCTTCCTTAGACCTTTAAACAATATTTGATTTTCAGACGATTATCAATAATAAAAGTACAATTTCTCTAGCAAGGAAGAAAGAGGAACATATTTTATAAAAGTAAACCTGTTTCAAATTTTTGATACATATATGTTTAGGAACTATTTTTCACAGTAAAACATACAATTTTTTCAATAATATTTTACTATCATCAATTTAATAGGTTTTATTGTCAAAAAATCCAGTTAAAATGTATGTAATGAATGGGGAAAATGTGCATATATAAGTATAAGGAGTAGCACAATAATTGTAATGTGTATGAGTTTTCTCCGAGAGTAAGTCCAGACGTCCTTAATACTTAAATACGATTGACGATGTATGAAAAGGAAACATTGAGAAGAAATATATTGTCATATCGTCTGACATTTTGTATTCACTCCTATATCCTGTACATTGTTTGGAATCATTTGTACAATTATATAAAATATGGAAACTAATAATTATTTTGTTGGATATTATTTACAAAACTTAGCAGTAATGAAGTGAATCAGCTTGATGTGTCATAACTTCGAAGTGCTAATGCAGCGTAAGGTTGCAGGACCACCGCATCAGCTGGAAACGTGGCACTGGAGAAAAAAATGCAGTTTTGTCACAACAGAGAATAATAAATTTCATTATTAAAAGTAATACTTGTGAAATACTTAGAAAAGGAAACTTCAACAATTCGAACTTTTTATGTTTAGTAATTTATGTATTTTAATATGTCTAGTAAATATTGTGCAAACATTTACAAAAAATACAAATTATGCAATTAGGTGCGAAAGAGGAAAATTCAAAAATTTTTATGCTGTTTTTCACAATATCTACAATGTAGAAACTTAATACGAGAATGTCAGTACAAAAAAGAAACAGTGCTAAAAATGACAACAAACATTTTAATTTGTGAACGTTTTGAACTATTTTTATTCCTGTGACAATGAGAAATATTATTAAAATAACTTAAGAACAATAAAAATAACAGTAATTTGAAGATTGAGTCAAAATAAAAAATGGCACACTTACAACAACAACAACAACAACAACAACATAGCAACGTTTTGTGAGCAGGTGCATCAGTAATTGAAAATTATAATTATTATATTTAAATCTTATTGATAATATAGTTAAAACGACTCTTATGTGATATAATTGCATAAGAGAAACACATTTATTGAATTTATTATGTTTTAAAACGCGTCAGTTCCCGCTAAAAAAATGAACTCAAAACGAAAAAAAGAAGATTATTTAGCTAGAATAAATAATGTTAATATTTTCGTTCCTTTAATGTGGTAGAAGAAATTTATTTTGTTTGGTTTAACTTTTCCCAATTTTTAAATGTTACCAAGCCTTAGTATTTTGGTCGAAATATGGGTCTGAAAATATTGCTGAAGTTTCATAAACTGAAACAAAACGAGGGAATGCGTGGCATACCAAAACGTTTCCAGTGTTGGTCAAGAAAAGTAGAATTTGAATGTTGTAATGATTCGTCCGATGTGTAACAAAAAATGTTAACAACTTAAATATTAGAATCTGTTTCTCTTCCAAGTACATCCGATTGGCTTTATGGTAATTAAGTGGAGAGCAGGATCAGAGGGATCATCTGATCCATTTCCCATTCCCAAGGCTTCATAAAACCGAAGCTTTTTCACTTTTTCGCACTTTTTATTTAAACATATTTATTTCTGCAACAAGTGCCTCCAACGATCAGTCCTCATAAGTCCATTTGTCTTATAAGTAAAAGTTGGAGTCTTTTTTAAAAAAGCCACATAATATGGGACTGAAAATGGAAGTTTATTAAAATGTAATAATAATATGACTAATTAATTTAGAGAGCTGTTTAAGAAAATTGTGAAACTGTAGTATGAACTTCACTCCCAAAATTAAGAGTTTTTTCACGAATATATATATACAATACATATAGGAAAAGAGACAAGTCTTGATACCTTTAACGATACCAGGTAACCGGTAAGTCATCTAGCCATAAACTTGATGTCGTTATTTTGTTAGATAAATAACATTTCTCTGTACAAGTTGTTTCAAAAAGTGATAAGACAATCAGAATGTAATTACTCAGATTACTTACTATTGTACGAACGAGTTGATGCTGGATACGGAAACAGCAAGGTTCGGCAACGGTGACAAAACAGACAGATCCACAGTTTCCTTCGTGCCACCCAAGTTGATTGCTACTACGTAGGCCTCATCACCATATACTCTGCAAGAGAAAATGTTAACTGATGAAAACTATAGTTAGGTACTCGGCATTATGATGCAGTATGACGTCATGAATGTTTCAACACGAGTATTAGCAAGAACTATAGGACACGGCCCTTCACATACTGGTTCACTGCTTCAATGAAGATTTAACGCCATTTTCCTTAAGTTGAACTCTTAACCTGAACGCGAAAAAATCTAAAATATTTTAGTACATCTGGAATGGAGTATGGACAATGTAGACAACAAATATACTCGCTAATTAAAATTTGCTTTCGTTGATAGAAGGGGAGTAATTAAAGTAAATTAAGATAAAGGGTTTTTCAATGTGTGTGATTCATAATTTTTATAAATAGATAAAAAAGTCATATTATTGTCATGTATTTATTTTACATTATTAAATATCTGTTGTTCCCGTTCGTAGGCATATGCAAGTTGCTATTGGTTATCGTATTAGCAGTTAACTACAAGTATTAAATAATGATATACCATTAAATTATTCTAAATCTTTCGACAATATCAACTAGCACGTTTACAAGAAATAATTTAAAAATAACTTCCTTTGCCATTCAATGCATAGCACCACACAATGCACATAGTGTACTACATCAAAAAACATGGCATTGCTCTGCCCTATGTTGCTTAACTGTATGGCATTGTCTCTGCATTATGTTGCTTAACTGTACATACGACTTACTTTAATTTAACTTTATATTTATTTGTATATTGTTTATGTTTATTCAATATAAACTGAACATCAATAATACCATTTTGATTGATAATTTACGAGATAATTACAGTTTATATGACTACGTCCACATTGACGGAGAGCATTTATAATTACTGCAAACGTATTATTCTAGTACCCTTCTCTTACATAAAAATATTAATATCTAGTCATATTTTTTTCAGTTTCTCAATATATTTTTTCGTGTACGTGAACTTACTTGAATATTCTTTTCCATATAGATTTTCTGCTCAGGATTCTATTTAGAACCATAACTGTTGCGCGCCTATTTATTATTCGATTTATCGTACAGCTGAGCAAGGAGGGCTTTGAGACGGCGAGGTCTCACCTGGAGAAGGCGAAGACGTCAACATCAATTATACAATTTAGATCTATACTTTCCGAGATAATTACAATTTACATTTCTACGTCCACATTGACGGAGAGCTTTCATAATTACTGCAAACATATTATTCCAGTGCCCTTCTCTTACCTAAAAAATATTAATATCTAAACATATTTTTTCCATTTTCTCAATATATTTTTTCTTGTTCGTAAACATGCTAGATTCTTTTCCATATAGATTTTCTGCGCAGGATTCTGTTGTGAACCACAACTGTTGCGCGCCTACTTATTGTTCGATTTATCGTACAGCTGAGCAAGGAGGGCCGTGAGAGGGCGAGGACCTTCACCTGGAGAAGGCGAAGACGTCTCCGACGACGGCGGTGGTGAGCGAACCGCGCCTGAATGCATCCAACTGCCGCAGTCGCACCAGGTCCTTGTACACCAGCACGTGCGTGAGCCGCAAGTGCAGCTGGTTCTCCGCGTTCAGCCATTCGTAGTTGGGATTCACGGGCAGCCACGTCTTTGGGTTGGTCGAGAACCCTGCAACACGCATTGTGGGAGATTTAAAAAAAATTATTAACCTGCGATGCCAGTTACCTACTAATTATTCATTAAAACTGACGAATTCTTCATCCTGAAACACGCGTTTTGGGAGATTTTAAAAGATATTATCAACTAGCGATGCCAGTTACCTACTAATTATTCACGAAAACTGACGAATTCTTCATCCTGAAACACGCGTTTTGGGAGATTTAAAAAAATATTATCAACAAGCGATATCAGTTACCTTCTATTCATTCATGAAAACTGATGAATTCTATCTACAGGGTGATTTAAAATTGTCTTTGGATCCGCTAGGTTGGGCTTCTGACTGAGATGATGTCATTTCTGCGAAAACAAAATTTGGAAATGGTCGTTTTGAAATTGTCAAAGAAGAATGATAAAGGAAATACAAAGCATCATAGATCTGTGAAACACTGTCGTAAGATAGAATGAATTGCCCCGAGCAACATGCAGAAATTTTGTTTGACGCACTGCAAAGGTAAACTGAGTGCCGCTTAAGGCGCCAAACGCATGATAATTGCAGAGCCAATGCGACTTATCTACATGAAACGCAATTTTTCAGGGCGTGAAAGTATTTATCTTCATCCTTTCTGTTCGAGATTTGATTCGACGGCTTTCTGATACTACTCATCTTAGAAGAAGTGCAATTTTTAACGGTCTTAAGTAAGAACCAAGATAAACGTATCAGAAATCATTGAAATCGATTGCGCAGTTTAGAAGGTATTTTTCAGACAGACATCGTCTTTTTTTTCATTTTTACGGGCATGGGGCAGGGCGAAGTAGGGGGAGGGGCAGGTTGGTGTAGAACTACAGGTAAGAGCATTTGGGGGTGTGGCGTGGTTAGCGTGGTATGTCGGCGTGTGGCGGGGTTTGGCGGAGCGTGATGGGGAATGGCGGGATGTTGCGGGCTGTGGCGGGGGGTTGGGTGTTGCGGGCGTGGCGGGGCTTTAAGGTGTGGATGCGTGTTGTGGTGCGTTTGTGGATACCGGATGTGTTGGTGTGAAGGGTTGGCGGTTGGCAGGGTGTGCGAGGAAGCGGGAATGTCGGTGTGGCGCACGGTGTGTCGGTTGTGTCGGTTGAAGCGAAGTGTGTCGGGTATGGCGGGTTGGCGTGCTGTGTCAGGGTATGCTCTTGTCGTTCGGAGGTTTGTCGAGCTTTCGCGGGCATGGATAGCAGTGTAGCGGAAGCGTGCGAGCGTCGGCGGAGCGTGTCGAGCTGACGCGAAGCGTGGCGGACCGTCGCGGCTGCAGGAGGGCGCCTGCGATCGAGGCAGCTCTGCGCGCGAGCAGGCTAACCTGCGCTGACGGTGTTGTCCCACTGGAAGGGCGTGCGCTCGGGGTCGCGCGAGTACACCATGTACTCGTCGGGCCCAGCGTTGATCGCCCAGGGGTCCTGCGTTTCTTCCCAAGTGATGCCCAGGTGGTCCTCCATGGCTAGTTCCTCGCCCATGAAGGTGATGGCGGTGCCTGGCAGCAGCAGCGACAGCATGTTCATGGCGTCCGCCAGCTGAGGCCCGAAGCGAGTCGCCACGCGGCGCTGGTCGTGGTTACCCAGCTGCGCACGCAAAGTGGTGCATTAAACAAACCGCATGTGTAAAGAAGGGCGCGTTTCCATCGCAATTCTGGGGTCTCATTCCCAATAAAATTATCAAAATTGTTGTGTGGACGTATGGCTTCACTGAAAACCTTAACGTAGACACACAGATATAAACATGTGATTTTAACAAACTGATTGTATAATTTACAATAAGGGTAAAAGAAAACGTAAAGACAACTACCTATTGACATAAAACTCTCAACAAACTTTTATAGAACGTAACATTTTCGATTAATTGTGAATTAGCCACGAAATTGGTATTATTACAAAACAAATTTTAATATCGTAAACAATATTTTTTTTGTTTTTCCGGGAAAGATAAGAGTGAGAAGATCACAACATTGCATAGCATTGTATAGTTATAATGTATTGTTTCCTAGCATATATTTAGTCACAATATTTAAAGCTTTTAATAATAATACGTGAACAAATTTGTTTTTATGTAACACATTGTTTGTAAAAATTGGGTAATGTCCAAAAATTCACATCTACGCGTCACTGGAATTACACCAAAATTTCGCCTTTTCATGTTAACTGAATGTAGGAAAATGTGTTTGAATATGTATGTACGGTAAGATAAAGTCATATTAATTCAAATAAAAATACACCGATCTAGGCAACGTTTCTCATTGTCGGTCCAACGTGAACACGGGAATCGTAGAAATAAAAATAATTTCAAAATTGAATTCGGCTGCCGCGCGGGAGACAGTTGACGCTCTCGTGACTCTCTTTGGGAAACGTAGCAGTGTGGATTTTTGTTCCCTCTAAATTTACAATAATAAAATAAGAAACGAATACTCTTCTGGAGCTTTCGCGCAGCGCAAGTTGGTCTAATTTCGCATCTCATCCAACGGTAAATTTCTGTTTAGATCGTTGGCGCCGCTGGGACGCACTTACCACCCAGTTGGGCCAGTCGATGGCCTTGATGTTGTCCATCCACTTGTGCACGATGCGGTCGAGGTCCTGCGCCGATGAGGTGTTCTTCAGCTCCGTGATGAAGTAGAAGTTGAATGGGAAATGGCCGCCAGGGTGCTCTGTGGTGCCGTAGTAGTCCACCACTTCGTCGATGGGGCCGTACGTCTCCAGCATCAGCACTCTAGGGATAGCAACAGCAATTCACATTAGTCACGCTCTTAAATAGCACGTACCACATTTTTATTTAGACTTCTTCTTCTTCTTCTTCTTCTTCTTATTGTTATTATTATTGTTATTATTATTATTATTATTATTATTATTAAAATAGTTGTTTCCATGTAATAGTGAACAGTTGCAAGATCAAAATTTGACTGTAATAGCAATTAGTACGAAGTGAATGATACATCAAAGGCTTTGATATATTAATTGAATATATCATTGAATTTATTGAATACATCGCTTAATTGATATATAAATTAACCTAGAAGTTAAGATGGAGAGTGAAGATTTAAACCGCTGTTAACAAAGTGATATTTTTATTTTGCTTTTCAACTACAGGTGTCAGCAACCAGAAAGGTTCTCATTAATCTCATGATGTTCAAATTAATCTAATGATATTTAATGTCAAGATGCATAATAGTAATTTGATTTCGTTTCTCACAAGAATTAGAATTTTTGACATGTTATATACTGCGAGCAAACTGTTTCACTTATGTTAAGTTGTAAGTAGGTAGCTTTTAAGTTGGTGATATTTTATCCCATTATATTCTTATTTCGTGAACAGTTTAAATAACAAATAGATTATGTTTACAGTCAATTTAAATATCACGTAAAATTATATTTTTTATAATTTAAAATATTGAAATCAAGGGGAGTATGTAGTACATAGTCTGGTAATGTTTAAGTATCAAATTTCCGGTGCTCTTCTCAAGAACAATGAAAGCTACATCTTTGAAATTTTACATCAGTGTTGTCTGATGATTTTTGAATATGGTAGATAACGTTTTTTGCAGTAACGTTTTTCATTTGAAAGTTATAATTTTTTACATGTCAATTTGTTACTAAAAATAATTTCTTTTGAGTTTTTTTGAAATATTATGTTATATAATAGCGAGTCTAATATCAAGAGCACATTGAGTTGTGCCCGATATAGTTTTTTAGAGAAGTTATCTTCAGTAGTTTTGGGAAAAAATGCAACAATATCCACTGAAAATACATTTGCTACAAATAGCTTTCAAAGTAAACAGACCCTCCCACGAACCACTACGATAGTCTAGAAGGCTTCTTTGACGTAATCTGTGTCCTCCTCTTCCCTTTTCTTCTTGATATTTCTCTTCTGTCTTCCTTGTTTGCTAAGATCTTCCACTACTACATTGCTTCAAATGACTGCTAATGAAGTTCTTGTAAAATTTAAAGCTTTTCTGTGAAAAAGTGTGTGTGTATTTATTCTGTATTATACAAAATAATACAACTATATATTATAATTGAATGCATTTATGAACATGAAATTCTTTAAAATACTTCTAATGATGTAACTCAAAATCTCAAAAGTTTTCTTGTGAAAAAAGCTAAAAAGGACACATATCCAAAAATTCTCATACGATTTTTTCAGGAATAGCTCCAAATTTCTCCCCGGAAAAATTCTGTACGGGAAAAATATGTTGCTATTTTATTGTATATTCCCAAAATATAATTTCATTTCAAGTATGATTAACAAAAACTTGACAAAAAATGAGACAACAAAAACATGCTTGATTTTTGATAAAGCACAATTTTGTCAATATGAATCTTACAGTAAATATACTGTACTCATTTTATAAATGTAGGAATATGTAAATATATTTTTTAAATAATTCCGTGAATATTATTTCATAAATGACACCATCTCGTTACGATTAGTTCTAATAGTTACGATTTTCATACTCTACTGAAAGTAGAGTATGAAAATCGTAACGATATATCGCATAAAAAATGTTGAAACGAATCTATCGGAAATATAATAGCATTAAAAATACATAGACTCCTATTTTTAGTAATTTTCATTATAATATTTGTTTTCAATCATCAGTTTCTAAATTGAGCCCTCTTCATGTGGTTATCTTCGCAACCGCCCTCGTGTTCACTCTCTGAAAAAGCGTTAGCCAATCGCTGCGTCCGGCCTCCGTGCCCTGCCCAGCGCGCTCCGCGACTGCCCAACGGTCGCTCATTTCGTGGTCAGTGGCGAGAGGTAATTTGTGATTCGGGAACGAAGTGCAGGTTGCGGAGAGGTTATTGGCAATTTTTCTCGAAGTCCCGTGTGACTGTGGTTAGATGCTTTTTAATTTAAAACAATTTCTGGATCAAATGCGTGTGGCGTGTAATTATTTCAAAAAGGTTATGCAGAGTGATTCCAAGCCGATTAATATTTGTGAAAAGTGGGTGTCGATGAAGATTTCAATGGAAAATTGATATAAATCCTGTGAAGTGTCTCGTGAAATGTCGAGTAGCATTGAAGCAGATCTGTGATAGTTATTTTAGGAACAGTGTTTGATAGGAATGCGTTTCCTGAAATGCATTTTAGGGGTTGTGTTGTGAAGTGAAACGTGAGCTCCAATAATTGTGAAGATATGGCTGGTGCGCGAGTGTTAACGCTCAAAATTGAGTTGGATGTGATTTGAAGAAATAGTGCCTGTGAAACTTCAGAAGAGTTGTGGAGTACTTTCTGTGCTTCGTAGCTGGACTTCACATCGCTGTGGCCTTGGATCTCCTCGACGCAGTTTCTTCTCGTCGTTCCCAAACATACCTTATTCCTGCCAGGTGGTTAGAAAATGTTTAAAATCTGATGTGCTTAGCCGTAAAAGTTCTGTCGAATAGCCATAAACCAAAGTAAAAAAATGCAGTTGCAACTTTCAGAAGCCATGCTTTCAAATGTGTAATAAAACTGCAATTGATAAATTAAGCTAATCAATAGGACCAATATTATTTGCAGATTAAAATTGCGTATTTATCAAGCTTTCAAGTAAACTTAACATTATCTTGGTTACGTAATTATTGAAAATTGGAAAACGTTAGCAGTCTAGCTTGAAATTGGGAAATTAATTTTCTAAGAAATATAAATTAGCAACTAAAAGCACATACTAAAAATGTTAAAATATGAACTGAAAAAATAGTAAATTGGATAGATTAAATATCAAGGTATTAGAATATCAATAAATTGATTTGTTTATGAACATTGCGTATTTCAATTTTCCAAGAATTTTGAAGAGAAAATACGGTGAATAGTTGTCAGCTAGCACAGGGTAGAGCAGGTTCCAATCTGCAGGGCAAGGTAGCATAGAACCCCTGGCAGAAGATGAGCAACGTTTTTGCCTGACGCCGGTGGAGCCTGGAATCGGTGAGTGTTCTGGGTGGAGTCTGTCCCGTCCTGTGCCCTGTCCTATGCCCTGTGACCTTCGCAGCGATCGTGGCAGCCCTAAGGGAGGCCAGACCGTTTGCGTTCCCTCTTCCGGCTGCACGATGGATGACACAGGTCTAGCCACACACAAACCTACTCAGCTGATGCAGAGAAATGAGTACAGGAATATAAGGAGGGAAGTGAAATGAACGGCACAGCATAAAAGCTGAGTAGAAAGTTTCCCCAAGTGCTCTAATTTTAGGTTGGGAGGGATAATTCTTCCTCGTGCAGTCATTGGCTCCGCTCAGATAATTTTAAGAGGATAATGGTCCGCCTTTAGTTAATTATATTCCTGGGTTACTGCAGCCTTGTGTATTGAAATGAACTTCACTTACATCTAATTGACACAAGTAAATTAAGTTATTGAAGATAATCTAGTGAATTTAATCTAGCAATCATTAAACTGTAATTTTAATGTTCATTAATTAAACTATTTTTAATTTAAATATTTAATATTGGTCATTGATGCAAGCTACTAATTTACATTTAAAATGAAATTATTACAGGTGTATAAAAATGTGGCTTACAATATAGAATGATTCCCTTCTTAAAGATTAGGATGGGCAAATGTAGGGAGGAGGCTGCAGAGCCCGGTTAGTCTGTAGTGTTAAGGCGGTTTGCTTCGCCATATTATGGGATCCACTCCTGTGCTGGATTACCGCTATTCTACATGGCATGCATTCCGTCATAGAGATTGAAGGGGACCTTGTCTGGAAGGGAAACATACTGTGCTGCGAGATGCTATTGCACTCTCAATTTGTGTCGATCTGAATGGCAGGTGACCTCCCTCTGGACTGTAGGCTAGGTCGTCGTTCAGCAAGGAAGGTCACTATGCCCAACAGTGAATTTAGGAGGGACACTCTTACAAGGCAGGGTGGGTAAGTTAAGTGCTAGGCAAGTATTCCAATTCGAGTTTTGCATTATAACTTTAAAACTTGTTTGCGACGTTCCAGCAAACCATTTAATTCCAATATAATTCAAAAAGTGCAACGAAGAATTGGAATACGCCTTCCTATGTGAAGGAAAACTGAAGGTTTGCTCATCTTTCAGTCGATCTTCAGTGGGAAACTAGTTGGCGGACAGCACACTTAACAGGGTGGGAATTTTCGAAACTGCTCGAAAGCCTTTTTTTTTTTTTTTTTTTTCGGCATATAAATTAAATATCAACAAATTGACTTTTTCCTTACAGGATCATAAGTCCGCGTGCAACGTGGCAAAACTCAAATTAAGTCCATGTACATACATGGCAAAAACATGTAAATCTAAAGGAATGTAAATAGGACCCTTTTTTAGGGGGAATTTTTATGGAATCTCCTAGTAAATGATCTATACAAGCATACCAAAGAAGTCAATACATTGAATTATAGCTGTACTAATTCTGCCTTTCTTCAGTTTTTAATTCTTTCTTTCAGGGCTAATTCTGCTTTTTTTCAGCTCTTAATTCTTTTTTTCAGGGATAATTCTTCTTTTTTCAGCCCCTAATTCTTTTTCAGGGCTAATTCTGTTTTTCAGCTCTTAATCCTTTCTTTCAGGGCTAATTCTGTTTTTCAGCTCTTAATCCTTTCTTTCAGGGCTAATTCTGCTTTTTTTCAGCTCTTAATCCTTTCTTTCAGGGCTAATTCTGCTTTTTTTCAGCTCTTAATCCTTTTTCAGGGCTAATTCTGTTTTTCAGCTCTTAATCCTTTCTTACAGGGCTAATTCTGCTTTTTTTCAGCTCTTAATCCTTTCTTTCAGGGCTAATTCTGCTT